GCCGGGCCGTGCAGGGTCCCGCGGCTGTAGGGGAAAGGGTGCTGCTGGCTGCGCCACGGGGCCAGCGCTGCGGGAGCCGGGTGCACAGCATCTGATGACAGCTATAATGGACGCCGCGCGCCCCTTAAAGCTGCCATGAGGCGCCCCCCCATCAGTTGGCGCCCTGGGCAGCTGCCCGGCTCACTCACCCCTCAGTCCGGCTCTGTCTGTTAGTTTACGTCTATACTTGCAACCTAGTTCGAACTATGGATGCAAATGTAGGCGATCAAAATTGCTAATGAAGTCGGGATTTAAATATCTCGTGCTTAATTAGCATGATCTCGCTGGTGCGTTACGCTGCTCAACAGCTGTTTTGAAAGTGAAAGTGCGCGCTGGGACACGTTAGTTCGAAACAAACCCCAATGTCTATCCAACCTGCTCTTAAATTTCTCCAGTGATGGAGATTCCACAACCTCCCTAGGCAATTTGTTCTAGTATTTAACCACCCTGACAGGCAGGAAGTTTTTCCTGATGTCCAACCTAAACCTCCCTTGCTGCAATTTAAGCCCATTGCTTCTTGTCCTATCCTCAGAGGCCAAGGAGAACAATGTTTTCCCTCCTCCATATAACACCCTATTCGATTCTTTAAAACTGCTATTCTGTCCCCTCTCCATATTGTGTTTTCTAAACTAAACAAGCCCAGTTCTTTCAGTCTTCCTTCTTAGGTCATATTTTCTAGACTTTTAATCATTTTTGTTGCTCTTCTCTGGACTTTCTCAAATTTCTCCACATCTTTCTTAAAATGTGGTGCCAGAACTGGACACAATAGTCCAATTGAGGCCTAATCAGCACAGAGTAGAGCAGAAGAATGACTTCTCGTGTCTTGCTCATAACACTTGTGTTAATTCATCCCAGAATCATGTTTGCTTTTTTTGCAACACTGTCATACTCTTAACTCATGTTTAACTTGTGGTCCACTATGACACATAAATCCCTTTCAGCAGTACGCCTCCCTAGACAATGACTTCCCATTCTGTATATGTGAAGCTGTTCCTTCCTAAGTAGAGTACTTTGCATTTGTCCTTATTAAACTTTATCCTGTTTACCTCAGACCATTTCTCTAGTTTCTCCAGATCATTTTTAATTTTGACCCTATCCTCTAAAGCACTTGCAACTCCTCCCGCTTAGTATCATCTGCAAATTTAAGAATTGTACTCTTTATGCCATCATCTAAAAATCATTGATGAAGATATTGAACAGAACCAGTTCCAAAACAGAACCCTACGGAACCCCATGTCTTATGTCCTTCCAGCATGATTGTAAACCATTAATACCTACTCTCTGAGAACTGTTATTCGGTCAGTTATGCCCCCACCTTATAGTAGCCCCATCTAAGTTGTATTTGTTAATGTTTAAAACAAGGGCTCCTCCTGCTCTAGGCATGTACCTGGGGGAAGCAGCAGTGGTTACATGCCAGGCAGCACATGCCTAGCCAAGTGGAGGGGAAAACTGCAACTGGAATGCTCCTGCATTGTGGAGTCTGTTCCAAGTACATCTCTGCCATCTTCCACCCACTTGGCAGCAGCTACCCACAGGTGGCTCATTGTATTAAGCACTGCAGACTGAAGGCAGGGGAAGCGCAAGTCCAGGCAGAACAGTTTAGGCAAGTTCTGGTTCATGTATCCCCGTCTCCCTAATGTGGCTTCTCCCTACTTCTGTTCAGGCACCCAGGATCTTGCATGCATATGCCGCGTGCATGCAACGAGCTGTCCCCCAGTTTAGAAGGCACTGTACCTGAGGGCTGGATTAAGGGGTGGGGCTGGCTGGGCACCTGCCTGGGGCACAAACCTATGGGGGTGCCTGATTGAAGTGGGAAGGGGTGCCACGCGCCCGGGGGTGGAACACACGTATGGCTCGGTCCAGTACTGCTGCACCCCACCAGTTGGCTGAACTTGTTATGATTAACCAATATAATTTTGATAGTTTAAATGGTTACTTTTTAAAATGATATTTACATACATCCTTAGTCTGTATTGGTTGGCTCCCAAGGGCCAAAGACCACAAGAATCTCTTTCACTTTAAGTAAGCCATCCTGGTAGAGAACTTCCTACTGTTGAGTAGAATTTGTTGAATAGCTGCCAAGCATTGCCTTTCCTCTTAATTCAACCATACAACAGCCATGCTGTGAGATACAGCGAGTGAAGTGTGGGATGCCAGATGAGGCCATGATTCTGAATGAGCAGATTCGGGTGGAGTAGCAGCGGAATGGGAGACTGAACTGGCATCATGAGAAGTTTGCAGAACCAGCACTATCCCAGCCACACTGGTGCAATGGGAATAAGCTTAGTATGATCAGTCCAGAGTTTTGAAGATGACATCGGGAATGATTAGGATACGGGAAAAGATATGTAGGAGAGCTGATTGCCAACTGCAGTGGAAGATGTTAGAGAAGGAGCACATACTGAGGACCCTCCAAGACCAGAGCAGGTGACATTTCCTGATCTTCTTTGCAGCAAACAGCTTGATCGTGGGAACATCCCAGGCTATGCAGAACTGAAAGACATCCATCTTCAGAATCGTTCATGACTTTGGGAGAAATTCCTATTGAGAGAGTCCGTGACATGATTCTGCATCGTGGGCAAGTGGACAACTACTGAAGCAATGTTCTTCATGATACAAAACTGTCACTGATTGACTGTCTCTGGCTATAACCTTTAGAAGTTACTACAATGTAAATGTTAAATAATAATAAGTAACATGTATTTGTTGTTCATCATTTTCATAGAAGCTAAAAGAATGTGCCTCTTGGTATAACTAAGGGGAAAGCTCCACTTTCCAGTAGGAAATGGAATAATAAACAATTCTGGTATGAATTTAAAGAAAAGATAATGGCACAGCTAAGAAACCAACAAGAACTGCTTCTAGAAAGAAATATTCCTCTCTTAAGGGGACTGAAAATGAATAAGCCATTGTAGTAAAAATATTTCCATAAAAGAAGAAATGAGATAGAGACCCTTCAGTTTGCTTTCAGAGTCTCAATGACTATGGCTTCCAGCAAGTCTGTTACCATTTAAAAACCTCCTATTGTGTGGGAGGAGAAAAAGCATATTGAGCCATGCACACACTCAAATGTTTTTAATACAAGATAAGAAATTTTAAAGGACAATGAGCATTTGTGTCAAGCTGAGAGAAGGCAACTCCTATGACCTAGATAACTAGTTATGCTTTGTAAAATGTTGTTTTAAAACATACATTATAGCTTGTACAAAAATCCACTTTTTCAAATCTATTTTTCTTGCCATTTTCCCCTTCAAACACACTTTTTAATGACATACAAATCAAAGAAGCACCATTTGTGTTCTTGCATAACTATATGACTACTAGAATTTCTTTGCCATGCCATTTCAAAGTTACGATATGACTTAAAGGAATTAATTCATTTGGTACGTGGACAGTAAATACCTTGCAAGTCTCTAATGCAAGAACAAATCATTCCATGCATATGTGCATTAAGATGCATCTTTGTGGAATTTAGAAAGACTATAAATGAAGGTCAATTATTGCTATACCTCCTCATGGAAGATACCCTTTGATAGAGCTTTGGAGTTGTGCAGTGATCCCAGATTTAAAATAATAATCTAAGTGGTATCTCCTGAACCCCGGTTGGTTTATGTGGGAAATTCATTGCAGACTTTGGAGCTATGTTTTTATAGATCTGACAGTACAAAACATTTATTAAGCAGCCAAATAGTGACGACGGATCCTTTCCTACACATATAGATAGCAGCTTTAATGAGAAATATCTTTTCCCTTTTCAGGCAACTGTCCTTTTAAATGAAGATTTTGCCTCTGAATTGTCCTCTCATCAACTCCAGAATAAGTAGACTACAACTCATTCTACATGTGTATGAAGGTAAATGCCATAAGAATTCTGAAATTTTCCAAGCATATTTTTGTCTTGCTTAGGTTTTGCTTCAATCACCTGTTCACATATGGCTATTTCTACTTTAAATACTACTGATAGCTTCATATAGTATACTTGTAACTACATACAGTACTGCAGAGAAAAGCAACCTGTGTTTGTAGCATGAAACTACCACACTATATAGTATAAGGCCCTGTAGGAGGCAAAGCAGCAAGGAAAGGCATTAGATTAGAAGTTCCCTGCTTCCAGACCTTTCACTGCAGTGAGAAAAGGTCCTGGCATTGCATAGCTTTTTCCAGCTGCTGGAGTACTTCCCGGAGGTAGAAGAAGGGCTCCAGCAAGGAGCCAGCTCAGCAGGGCTACTCAACACATGGCCTGCGGGCCACCTGCGGCCCGTTCGTTTGCGGCCCATGGTGCAGTTTGGGTTTATGTGGGGCTCAACACACGGCTGGGAGCCGAAACAAAAAAGTAATAAGTATAATGGTCTTCTGTTGATATGCGCTTTAGTAGTAAATTCCTGGACTGTCATTGCTCATTAAAAGTGCTGTCATATCGGTGGAAATTGAGTAAATTTTGCATTTTATTGCATTTTATTAATATCAGCAGAACTGACTAAAATGGGACCTGCGTGTTGTGTAGTCTTTCCTTAGTTTTTGTATTCATGCCCATCTCTCTGAAAGAAGTTATTTGCATATATTTGCATATGTTTGCATATACTTGCAACCAGACTGAAGTTGCAGCCCTCCACATGTGCTCTGAGTATCACTGTGGCCCCTGAAGCTTCCAAAGTTGAGTAACCCTGTAGTACAGCCTTTCCCCAATCCTGGAGTCTACCACACACCCAAACCCTTCATGTGTGTCTTCACCCTACTTGCCTAAATCATGACTCATCATTTACACTCCTATTCACATCCGTGCTAGTGGGGGGTATGCATGTGTATAGTCTGAATGCTGCCAAAAAGAGCATGTAGTGTAGGTACACTACTTCTACTGTATCACTACACAATGCAGAATTTGTACCCAACTAATGTTCCCTGCCAAATTTTATTTTTTCATGCAGACTTTGTGATTTCCACCAAAATGTCTTCGGTTTTTCCAGCACGGATTTCTGCTATCAGCCCTATATAGCTGGGGCTGACAGCCCAAGTCCCAGCTGTGCATTAAATATTAGACCATAAGGAGTGAAACAAAAGCTAGTAAATGAGAATCTAACCAGGCCACATGTAAGGAGCCAAAAATTAAATAAGCCATTGGCCATTGCCTGTAAACTGCCTAGAATTAATGCTGGGTACTTATCAGCCACTTATGAAGATAACCTGAGCCCAATCCTGCAGTCCTTATTTCAGGCAAGATTGCCACTGAGCTAACGGAAGCATTGCCTGAGTAAAGCCTGGCAAGAACGGTCACTTTGAGGTAACACTATGGAGACGAACTCGCACTTCAGCTAAGGTCATGAGGCTGGGCTGAGCCCTACCAGCCCCACTACCTGATGTTGGGATTGGGCCTCCCACTCCTGCCTGGTGTCAGGAGGGAGAGTTAGGGTTGGGGCTGGCATCCTTCGCTGGGGGAGCTGGGTGTCACACCCATAAGAGAGAGAAGGATGCTGCTGGCCTGGTGCCCCCAGCAGGGATTAGAGGAAGGGGGGCAGGTTGGCTGGCACCCATGGTAGAGGGAGGGGCTAAGCCTGGCATGAGACGGGGTGGGGGTGGGGCCTGGCACCACCAGCTGGTGTTCTGCCAGACTGGGCTGGGCCTGACAGTGCACCCCTATGGCGAGAGGTGTTTGGCCGCTAAGGGTTCGCCTCCCACCATCAAACCACTTCGGACTACATTTCCCAAAATGCGTTGATGGTGCGTGATGTTACCGGAAGTAACCATCGTCCTGTTTCCGGTGCTGCGAGCAAGTAATTATCGTACTGTTTCTGGTGGCCGCGAGCAAGTAACGGCTAGGAGAGACTTACTGAGAGTATCTCCATCGAATCAGCCCAGCGTTGCGGACTAAGCCAGGTAAATGTGGCATCCACCCTCAAGACAGGCTGGGCCTAGCTCTGCCCTTCACGTGTCGTTCCAGGGGTGCTGGATGGGCTTGGTGGGTCCTGGGCTCCACGGTTGGGCGCTGGGGCTGTAGCGGGATGTGGAGCCGCACGTGAGTGGCTTGAGATACAACATCACAATCTGCTCCTGGCGCCAGACCCCATCGAACTGAGAATAAGCAGTAACATCTGTCGTGCTCCACTCCGCTTTCCCTGGGATTCCAGCGTAATCCCTGCTCTTGGCTGGGCTGGGAACTCTGGAGGGCCAAACAGCTGTGCCTCATGCTACGCTGGTGCTTTCCATTTTAAACGCCTGTGATGTAACTGCTGCTTGTTCTCTGGGGTTCTGTCTTCTCTAGTTCCTAGTCGGCATGTGGGCGGGGAATGTGCACAGGGCCAGGCAGGCGTGCTGCATGCAGGGAGCCCCCCACGTGTAACCGCTGAAACTTTCAGCAGTTACAAGTTTACTTAATTTTTAATATCCCTAGTTCCTAGGGCTTCGGGGGAGAGAGACAGACTGGTGATTCTCGGAAAGGATAACGGGTTGTAAGTAGGGGCCCTACCAAATCCAAGGTCCATTTTGGTCTGTTTCACAGTCCTAGTATTTGTCGTACCTTGGTGTTTTCGTACCTCGGTACCTTTGGTGGTCTGGACTGTCAGTGTCACCGTCGTCTGGTTAGGGTTGTCCTGGCGCGCTTCTGACAGGACCTCTACTCCGTTGTTAAACTTTCGGCTGCGTGCGTAACAATCGGTACTCCCTTTATTTAGAGTGTTAGACCCCATGCACTTGGGTCAACACAAGAGATCTCTGAGAGGCCCCGGAAACAACAGATGCAGGCAAGGTTTGAAATCAATCGAGCAGGTTTATTGTCAAATGCGAAGCTCTACCAGTTGGTAACAGAGATCAGTACAATGTTACACCACTGGGCACTATGGCCCGCGTTGACAAGGTACCAACACCGGGCAGGCCTATTGCCATATAACAGATATTAACAGCAGTTAGTCAAAGTTAAGCTACTGTGCGCTCTGTAAGTTTAGGCAATGACACCTGCCGTCGGCCTCCCAAGGTCGGCCGGAGAGCACCCTCTGCAGTGTCCTTTTATAGACAGGTACAAACAACTTACATTTCTTTACGTACCAGGTTACCACCCTCTGTTGCCTAGTTACCACCCCTCACCTTACGGAAGGGGGGCTTACTTACTATCCTTTATGCTGTCAATTCCGACCTGGTCCTGAACCTAGGTCAGTATGTGCATTAGTTTTTAGGGCGTTTTTGTACCAAGACATTTCTTATTAAGATGTTCCAATACTCCCCTTTGGCTCACAGTCTGTACCCAGTACCTTCCTGTGTCCTTCCATGCTCGACCTAACTTACACAATCACACAATTTATCAATAGGGCCTCTTTCTTGGCTCCTGTTACTGAACCAAAGTCTTGCTCACTAGATTGCAGACCTGTTGCTGTTTTCATGTTATAGGCCTCTATTTAGGCCTGCTGACTCCATGTTGCTGACCTCAACTTACTACATTCCCCCACTTTTTGTCCTTTTATGGGGAGGATGTTTACCCATCGTCCCGGAAAAGCATAATGCATGAACTGAAGGTGACCCAGTGGGCTAAACACTGTCATGTGGACACCTTTGTCGTACTGTTCACACGCTCATGCCCCATCTGTCCCTTAGTCTGCACATTCCCTCGTACGACTGATGGACAGATTTTATTTTCCAATTCTTTTCAGTCCCTTATGGTGGGCCTGGGAATGTTAGACCCAGGACCGTACTGAGGAATGCAGGTTTTTTGATTGAGTTTTAACAGGCTTTTCAAATAATTAATATGGAAATGGTGTATCTTTTGTAGAGTATTTAGGCATATTTGCTCAGTGCACCTATGTATATATGGCATAACCTTATAGCCATTTGTAACTTGGTATTGTGATTTGGCTCGTGTGGTACTGCTGATAGCCATACACTTCAATTAGGGCATATATAATTACCATTTGTACTATTATTAATAGTAGACTGAGTGTTTTTTAGTGATTTTAAATACTGGGATAGACATTGTTAGAGTGTGTCCCACAAGATTATATATAAGAAGCAAAACAGAAATTTGGAGTAGTGACATTATAAATGAGGCCTTTTATAATAAATGTTTTGTACTCCAATACTACCCAGTACTGTCCATTCATGTTATACATCAGCTTTACTGCTGGTGGTCACCCTCTGCAATAGACTTTGCTAGGCAAGAACCAGGAATGGCTAGTGTCTCTGTTCCATTGGTCGCAGTGCTCTGTGACACACCAGTCAGTTGTTTTTTATGGATTCTGTCTTCCAGACAACTTACTGAATGGACAGTAACCAGTTTATTAATTATTGCTGTGTTAGGATTCGGGATTGGTCCCAGACACTGAACAAAATTGTTTGGAATAATATGTGCCTCGGTTTAGGTTTAATGTCACTGATCCAAATCATTACGAGTAATAACAGGGATTTGTTTTTTAACTCAAGTTGTAGTTTTATACACTTAATTTTCTTTTGTGATTCTCTCTCTCTCCTTTTTTTTTAAACCCTTTTTTATAATTGCTCCTATTTGGCTAAACAATTTTTCACCTATTATGGCTAAACAATTTAGCAATGCTATGCACATTGTAAATGGTGTACAGCAAACATACAATAATAATACAGTGATATAGCAACAATAGTGGTACAGCAAACAACAATTGGTTTTACATAATAGCTAAGTTTAAATGAACTAACAATGATTTCTAGCTGATTGCCAACTTAATTGTCCATATATGGGACATTGAGGTGAACAGTCTTTTATTTATAAAGTACTTCATTTTTCTTCTCTTTTCTTGATGCTTAGGCATTTCTTCACTGCGTGCTGCTATCTTTTAGTGTTTTTGTGCTGTGATATCGTCTAGTGTTTTTGATCTGTAGGATAAACCTTACAAAACTTCA